CAAACTTTAGATTAGTTTTGTGTAGAAGACGGAGAAAGAGAGAGAGAGAGAGAGAGAGAGAGAGAGAGAGAGAGAGAAATAAAAAAAGAAGAGTTTGGTTTTATGTTGTCTTGGGATACTGATAATTTGCCTTTTACAGAAAATATCTACAAAACTATCATTTCGCTAGGACGGACTTACCCAAATGATGGTTGATGTGTCCAATGCAAGCCTCAAAAAACTCCTCGCCTTGGGGAGGATCATAATTTAGAATAGCAAAGGGATGGAGAATAGAGTAAACTCCTGAAGCAAAAACCTAGGAAAGAAAGTGGGGTTGGAAAATAAAGAAAGTGTTGATCCCATCCGTTTACTGAACTTGTAAACAACTTAAAAAGCAATGAAATTTAAGGACACAGAAAAATACGAATCATTGCCTGTCTCTCAGCTTAGCTTTCTGTGCCAAGCGTACATCTATCTTCAAATAAATGAAAATGGCTCATTCTGTATCATTCATTATCACTGAGCTGCAGGTATTTTAGTACTGTGCCAAATGACATGAAATGAGCAACGAAAGGCTCATAAGAGAATATCTCATAAGTCTCAACACTATTGGCTGCTTTCTCATTCACTTTTTATTCCAATCTATCTTTTGTTGTTAAAAAAAAGAGAGGAAATTCTCAGATTTCAAAGGAGTCCATTAAGGAGCCGATAAATCTGTTTAGACTGCCAGGATGCCATCTAGGATGGAGTGGAGAGTGGATCTATGTTTTTTGTTTGTTTGTTTTTGCACAAGCTTTTCCCCTTTTGAGAAAAAAAGTAATGTGTAAATGCAGAATTTCTTGGTGCACCTGACACCTTCCTTCAGCACAGCAGAGAGATGGCAGAGGAAGCACAAGAACCTACGGCCAGCTTCCAAGCTCATTCCGGAAAGAATCCAGGTGGCTGAGCAATGCCCTAACAGGCCTAGGTTGAACCTAATGCACTTACCCAGGAAAGGAAACTCCTCTCCCACACTGCCCTATGAAAAGATGTGGTTAGCATCCCTGTCCGGTCCCTGTTCTCTGTAGGGAGAGAAGAGGCGGGCAAGGCCAGCCAATTCCAGAAAGGTAACTGAGCTCTAGGAACACTTAGATTGCCAGGATGCCATCTAGAATGGAGTGGAGAGTGGATCTATGTTTTTTTTTGTACAAGCTTTTCCCCTATTGAGAAAAAAAGTAATGTGTAAATGCAGAATTTCTTGGTGCACTTGACACCTTCCTTCAGTAGTGGGAGGCACAGCAGAGAGATGGCCGAGGAAGCGTAAGAACCTACGGCCAGCTTCCAAGCTCATTCCGGAAAGAATCCAGGTGGCTGAGCAATGCCCTAACAGGCCTAGGTTGAACCTAATGCACTTACCCAGGAAACAAGATTCCTCTCCCACACTGCCCTATGAAAAGATGTGGTTAGCATCCCTGTCCGGTCCCTGTTCTCTGTAGGGAGAGAAGAGGCGGGCAAGGCCAGCCAATTCCAGAAAGGTAACTGAGCTCTAGGAACAGCGCACAAAAAGAGCCACCATGCAAAACTGCCAACAGAAAGAAACGAAGGAACCGTCTTTTGTGCGTCAGCAGCATGAAGAGCACCCGAGGTCAGCAAGTGCTGTAAAATGCACAGACCTGTCATTCACAGGTTGTAGCCCTGTGAACCTTTCAAGCACATGCTGCTGCTTCAACAAAAAAACAGGGACAAAAAGCCTTCACAAACCCAGGCTCTGCTTTTGGCAAATCAAATCTAGTATGTAACCACGATGCCATTTTATAATATTCACTAGCCCAAATATTTGTCAAAAGCATGTGAAGAAGAAACATTTTGGCTGGGAGAGAGAAAGCAAAGTAGATTCTGGGCACTGTTGTGATAACTATTGAAGGAAAGACGTTGGACATCTTGTTTGTATTTGTGGCAATTGCAGTTGCCCCAATGCATTAAGTGCCACCAATGCTTCTCTCCTTGTGACCGGAGGGGACAAAAGCCCACATGGGCTGGCTCAGGGCTGAGGGGAGAGACTGACCAATTTTTTTGCACTACCGATACAGAGGTTGTTACTTTATCTACCTTATTTTTCGCACCATAAGACGCACTTTTCCCCCACAAAACAGGCGGGTGGAAAGTCTGTGCGTCTTATGGAGCAAAGAAAACAGATTATATTTTCCTGTTTTCTTCTCCTAAAAATTGGTGCGTCTTATGGAAAGGTGCGTCTTATGGAGTGAAAAATATGGTATATAGGCACTGTGTGAGTTTGGCAAACGTGATGGGACAACACACCCCAACAGTTACTCAAATCACAATGGGAACTGAATGTTCCTACAATCATGATAAAAATGCCAAATAATTATTCAGGACCAATTTCAAGGAACACAGTAAAAGTATACCTAATCATTAACTTTTAATATCTGCACAGGTAGCCACAATCTTCTGTTAAATACCAGTCACAGGAGTTTTTGGTGTTTAGTATGATTTTAACATAGTTATTGCTTTATCACTGCCAATATATCCTTTTGATGTGTTTTAAAATATTTTTATATATTAAAGTCTGTTTTACATGATTTTAATGATTCTTTGTTCAATAATTTTTAAAATGCCCTTTATATGTTCTTCTTAATTCCTGTAGTTTTAATGATCTGTGAGCTGCCTGAAGTTCTGCATTCAGGGGAAAGGCGGCATATATATGCAACAATCAAACAAATATTCTGCAGTTTTCAGATCATGGGCTTTCTTGTCCTTTATCTTTCCCTCATATAGTGGCCAGCTGAACAGTCCGTGAGTTAGACATCTGGGACAGGAGATTAAGGCTGGGAGTTTGATTCCCCACCGCATCTCTCAGGGGAAAAACCAGCCTGGGGAGCCTTGGGTGCACAGATGCCACTGCATCTCTCAGGGGGAAAATCAGCCTGGGGAGCCTTGGGTGCACAGATGCACAATCCCAGGGCACTGCCCAAAGAAGGGAAGGCTAAGTTACTTCTGAGTACTCTGTACTGAGAAAGCTTTGTAAAAAGTGGTCATAAATTATAACTGACCTAACAGTACATATTCATTATTATTAATACAGTGGACAAAAGATCCATACCTCTCAAGTAGAAGTGGGGAAATTTTAAAATTCAACTAAATTCTAAACTAGGCCAAACTTGGCTTGGAATTAAGTTTATGCAAAATATGCCCCGATATGGACAATACAGTATAACATGCAATCATCATCATCATCATCATCAAATATGGACAATACAGTATAACATGTAACCATCATCATCATCATCATCATCTTAGAACTGCACAGCTAAAAAGGACCCCATGAGTTCAGCCCCTCTCAAGGAAGCATAAAGGGGAATCAAACTCCTAACCTCTAAATCACTGAACTACGCAACAGTTCATGTAAAAATATAAGAAGCTTCCTGACATGTAAGGCCACATGTCAGATTATGGACCGGTTTTCAGACTGCCTGGCAGCCTGGGGCTACCCTCCAGAGAGGGAGGCATCTATGTGGGACAGGTGGACTAATTAGTATTTTTTAAAATTTTATTTGATAAATGCTCATCCTAACTAACTAACTAACTAACTAACTAACTAACTAACTAGCTAACTAGCTAACTAGCTAACTAACTAACTAACTGTACTCCATCGCGTACCCCAGAACAGCCAGCCTGGGTGACCCAGGGCACCCAAAGAAGAAGGGAATGTTAACCACTTTTGAGTTGTCTCTACCTAAAAAAAACCCTGAAAAGGGTTGCCATAAGTCAGAATTGACATGACAGCGCATTATTATTATTGTTATTGTTGTAGCAGAAGTAGTAAAGGTAAAGGTAAAGGTTCCCCTTGACAATTTTTATCCAGTCGGGTTCGACTCTAGGGGGCGGTGCTCATCCCCGTTACCAAGCCATAGAGCCAGCGTTTTGTCCGAAGACAATCTTCCGTGGTCACATGGCCAGTGCGACTTAGACACGGAATGCTGTTACCTTCCCACCGAGGTGGTGCCTATTTATCTACTTGCATTTGCATGCTTTCGAACCGCTAGGTTGGCGGGAGCTGGGACAAGCGACGGGCGCTCACTCCGTCACATGGATTCGATCTTACGACTGCTGGTCTTCTGACCCTGCAACATACAAAGGCTTCTGTGGTTTAGCCCACAGCGCCACCACATCCCTAGTGGTCAATTTGCTTTTTGTTTCCAATGGTGGTTCTGTGCCTTAAACTCTACCTTAATCATCTCAGTTGCATAAGAAAGTCCTCAATCAACATGCAGTCTTCCTGAGACACGACTTCCTTTCCAGTTCATTGTAGATTATTTGTCATTTCCTCTAAATGCTTTGATGTTTAGGACTGTTTAAGCAACAGAGAGGTACAGCTCTCATTTTCTCGTGCCTACACAGTCCCCACTACCGAGACACATAAAAGGAAACAGGAAACAGTATTCAACAAACTAACAGGGCTTGGGAAATAGCGCACTGCACGCCATGAGCATGGTACTAGTAAAGAAACCACATTCCAGGAAGAAAATACATCAACCTGAGGACTTTCTTACACAATGAAGACAAGGTACAGAGTTGCAATTCAAACAAAAACAAAGTGATTAATGACACTAGATGGCTAAACAAGTTGTAATTTAAAAAAAAACCTAAACACTAAATTGCTGCCACAAAGCTAAGAAAGTGATTTTCAACAGTGAATGACAGCTATTTTTTTTAATCAGTAATATCAGTTAATATTAATTGATACTTCTGGATGACCTTTGGAGAACAGCAAAAAAAGAGAGAGGCTTGGGTGTCCTTGTACCCACAGACCCTATCTAGCTGTCGTGTCTACACTGCCTGGTGGCAGATGTCCAGAGTGCAAACAGAAGAACCTTCCAGCCTGACCTAGAGATGCTGGAACGGTCTTGCAACGTTCCCTCTAATTTTCCACCAGCACTGAGTGGAAACTCCGCCAAGTTCCGGCCATGACCAGAACCCAATGAGCAGCAATACTACGTACGTATGGGTGCACTGCACCAAGAGGGGCACTACACAGCCGTGCACCTCCGCAGCTTAGAGGGAATGTTGGTCTTGGGACCTTTTCCATGTAATGTACATGTTCGACAACTGAGTTACAACCCATGCCAATGTAATGCTGTTACTTTCAAGGTAGATCAAACAATAATCTATTGTTATTACCTTATCTGGTTGATTAATGGTAACAGTAGCAATTCCATCAAGTACTTGAGTACACAGGTATTGAGATCTGAGCAAGTGATGAGAAAGTTGCAACACATTTTCCCATGTAATCTGGTCTACCAAGCGCTGGAAAACAACCGCAACTTCCGGAAAAAGATTTTCATTAAACCACTCTCCAGATGGAAATCTGAGGTCTTCTAAAAGAAGATCCAGATTGTTGGCTTTCTGAAGTTTCTCCAAGGCATAACTATTAATTTCTTGCAACAGTTTCCCATATGACCCAGAAGAGACTAGCTTGTTTGACCGATCACGCTGAGCCCATTTCATGACAGCTGCAGTTAAGGAACACAAGCGAAGCAGGTTGCACTGAGGGAAGATGGCACTGATCCGAGCGACAACAACATCATCCATGGAAGAAGAAGGAACCATGGCCAGAGCGTGGATCAGCAGAGCAGTCTCAGCCACTCTGACGCTAACTTGCAAATAGCTGTAAAGGAAGAAAAAATAAATAAATTCATTAGTTACCAGTAGCAAAAACTTGGTTGACCACAAATATTGATGCATTTGACACACAGATCATATACTTGAAGGAAGGCCCAAATGACATCACTTGCCTGTGACCAAGAACCACCATCTTATATCCCTGAAGCTGAAAAACAGGGGTGCAGTTTTAACTAAGCATATGAATTCTAGCGGTGTATTCTTTCAACGTATCAATGATATCTGCATGTGGGTGAACACAAGATTCCTGAAGGGATAAGTCTCCTTTCCCAACTTTGATGGTGATGCACAAAAGTCTTATGGAGAATCGTCCAAGAAGTGAAGAATGATACCTGTTTAGGACCATCACAGTGCAGTTTTGACAAGCACTTGGACAAAGAGTGATCATCAAGGAACAGAATCTGGGACAAAATGTTGCAACCCTAATGAAGAGGGCCTATCTAACTAGAATTTTTTCCTGATGTACAGGATCTTTCAACATGACAGGGGGAAAGAGGCATAAGCTGTGGCTCTTTCCACTCCCCTATGCAGCCCACTGCATCACCTCCACCAAAACCTGTTCCAAAGGGATGGTGGTGGGGAACATCCTGAGCAGGTCTGGGAGTGAGGGGGAGCTACCAGCTCGAGAAATGTTCGTGAATCCCACCAACCCCCCTTCTCTACTCCACTGACAGATGTCTTCCATCAGCAGAGAAATAGCTGTTGCTTATCATTCAGAAGGTTTAAAAGTACAAAGAAAAACTACCGTATTTTCCATGTATAAGACGCCCCCCATTTTTCTAACCCAAAATTAAGAAATCTAAGTGGGGCTTAGCAAGTGGAGGGGAAAGCAGGGATCAAAACCCTGCAGGAATGCTGTCCTCTGAAGATGCCGGCCACAGAGAGTGGCAAAATGTTACGAAGAACAACCTTCAGAACACGGCCAAAGAGCCCGAAAAACACACAACAACCATTAGATCCCGGCCGTGAAAGCCTTCGCAAATACACCTACAGGATCACTTTGATCCCTGCTTTCCCCTCCACTTATTTTTGTTCTTTCCTCAGCTTACTTCCGTGTATAAGACGACCCCCAATTTTTAGTCTAAAGGTTTTAGACAAAAGTACAGTCTTATACACGGAAAAATACGGTACTTCTTTCACATTATTTTGGGACAACTCCTCTCCAGAACTAAATTTCAAAGCACTTACTTTTATACAAGCAATTTAAAACACCCTGCCATGGCAGAACTACAAAAGTGCTCCACCTGTGATTCTCTGAAGTTTCTGGGTTTTTTTTGGGGGGGGGCAGGTGTCATCATCCCCCCCCGCTGCATTCAAAGTTCCTTATTAAAGTTGTTTGCTTACCGCTGTGCCACTCAAGGGGTGACGCCCATTTCCCACCTCACACTCCCACTGATGCTACCTTCTGTCCCTAATACTGATGGCCGGACATCACATTCAGAAGGCCAGGCCCTCTCAGAAGCTCAGAAGGTCTTCAAGGCCATACTCCGAAAGTCATTATCTCTCTCTCTCTCTTTTTTTCATATAAGAAAATCTAAATCAGTATTTTATTAAATGAAAACATATTGTAAAGAACACACACAAAAGAACAACAAACAGAACAACAAACAAATGAACACATAAAATACAATAATGGTACACAAACAAAACTGAAACAAAGTGCTGCTCCCCTACTGGGACCAATGGAGAACAAGACCTTTTCCTTTATTTCAAGGATTCCCTTTCTCCTTCCAAAACTATAATGTTTCTTGCAATGGTGCTCTTCCCATCCCCTTTATTAATGCATAATCAATAAAATCTCCCCAAATGTCTGCAAAAGTATGCTTTTTAAGCACTCCTTTCTCTACTTTAATATTGCATGTTAATTTGTCATTAATAGCTATATTCTATATCTCTGTACACCATTCTCTTAATTCTCTTAAATAGGTTTTATTTTCCAATACTTGGCTATAATTAATCTAGCAGCTGTGACTAAATTAGAAATTAATTCTATAATTGGCCAATTATATTCCACCTTATCAAATATTGGTAGAAGTGCTATTTTAGGGCATACTTCTACATTTTGTTTGGTTATGTTTCTTATTTCCCCAAATACCATTTGCCAAAATTTCATCACATTGTTGCATTCCCACCACATATGAAAATATGTGCCGGTTTTCTGGCATCCCCTCCAGCACAACATAGAGTAATTTTATTTATTTGATTTAATTTCACTGATGTTAGATACCATTGCCAAACAATCATAAAAATTCTCTTTAATTCTTATAGACATGGATTTCACTGTTCTTACATTCCATATTTTCTTCCATCTCTCAGTGTTTATTACTTCCCTCATATCATGTTCCCATAAAACTCTCAGGGGATCCTGTTGATCTTCTGCTTCAATTAATATTTTGTAAATTTTACTTACTATACCTTTCAAAGCTTTGTTTTCTGCTAGATTTTCCTTTTGTAATAACATTTCCTCAAACTTTGTAACTTCCTTATATTTACAATTTTTCCTCAACCAGTCTTTTGTCCCACTCTCTAACTGCAACACACTGAATCATGACAATTTCTCCCGTCCTAAAAGGTTTTTTATTTGCTCTTTACTCCCCATCCTTTCTACCCAATCCTTTAATCTGATTACTTGCCGTCTTCTTAACACACTCTCCAGATTTTTCAGATTCCTAGGAAAGATTTCCAGTTCAGTCACTGAACATAAAGGTGATATTAGTGGACTGAACATATTCTTGTACTTATGCCAAATTAATACCATATTTTTCAGGAAAGGATTACCAATTATTTTACCTCTATTTTTATTATATGGTTCAAAAATAATATTCTCAAAATTTAGATATACAGCTGTGCCTTGCTTTACGATTGCCCCGCATTATGACAAAACCGCATTACAACAATCTTTTTGTGATCGCAAAACGATAGTCTGAATAGGGGTTTTTCGCTTTGCGATGATCGGTTCCCTGCTTCGGGAACCGATTCTTCGCAAAACAACGATTTTTGGACAGCTGATCGGTGGTTTCAAAATGGCCGCCGGTTAAATAAAATGGCTCCCCGCTGTTTTCTGGGACAGATTGCTGCACAGGCACCGAAAATGGCCACCCTATGGAGGATCTTCTCTGGACAGTGAGTTTCCAGCCCACTGGAATGCATGGAAGGGGTTTCAATGCGTTTAAATGGGCTTTTTATTTCCGCATTACGACGTTTTCGTTCTACAGCAATTTTGCTGGAACGAATTAATGTCGTAATGCGAGGCACCACTGTAGCTCAACTGATTCCAAACCCCACCATATTACTTTATTAGGATGTGCAATGATATATCCGATATGTCTTAACTTATTGGCTACATAATAATTCTTTAAATTAGGAAGCCCCATCCCTCCTACCTTCTGAGCCTTATATCATCTCCTCTTGTTACTTCTTGCCTTTTTATCTCCATTACAAAACTTATTAATCATAAACTGCAAATCTTTAATATCTTCTTCAGGTAATTCTATTGGAAGCATCCAAAATAAAACATTAATCTTGGGTAAAATCTTCATTTTAACCAGGGCTATCCTGCCAAACCATGATAATTAGGTTTTTCTGTAATCTTCCAATTTATTCTTCATTTCGCATTTCAATCTCTTGAAATTTTCTTCTCTTAATCTAGATAGGTTCTTTGGTATATGTAATCCTAAAACACTTAAATTCCCAAGCTTAATATTAAATTTTCCTCTGAATAGATCTTTTTCTTCCTTATTATAATTAACCATAATTATCTCTTATTTCCGCCAATTTACTTGTAGCCCGGTTATTTCTCCAAACTCTGCTGAATGTAATTTTACCCCATCCATCACTCTTAAGGGATTGTCGATTAATAAAAGAGAATCATCTGCAAATAAACTAATTTTAGTCTTATCACTGGTCCCTATGCCACAGATTGAATTATCTTTCCTAATAGCATTCATTAACATTTCTATAACTGTTGAGAACAAAACTGGGGAAAGGGGACACCTGTCTAGTACCCCAGCCAAGGGATATTTGTTCTCTTAGTTAGACCATCATTTACAATAACAAATAGAGAGGTTACTTACCTGTAAACTCTGGTTCTTCGAGTGGCCATCTGTGAATTCACACTAATGGTTTTAATCTGCACCTGTCCAGAGGTCTCCAGAATATTCTAGTACTTTAGATATGTTCGCCAGGGACTGCCTTCTTAGTACACATGGTCCACCCATCGTGGCAATTATCTCAGTTCTGAAGAACAGCCCGCCGCTGCATCAAAGGTGAGATAGACGTTATGGACAGAGGGGAAGACAGGCAGGAAGTGTGAATTCAGATGACCACTTGAAGAATTAGAGTTACAGGTAAGCAACCTCTCTTTCTTCTTCGTGGTCTCTGTGAAATAAATGGCAGGGAAGGGGAAAAGGGGTCAATCCGTTTAGGGAGAAATAAGTTCGAATTCTCTTACAATTCTCTCCTTGCTGATTATAGCTGAAACGAAGCAAGTGGCAAATGGAGCTCGACAAGAGGAGAAACCTCAGTGAAGGCAAAAAAGAACTGAAGTAATTGCCAGTGCGGGTGGACCACATGTACTAGGGGGGCGGCCCCTGGTGAACGTATCTAAAGCTCTAGAATATTCCGGAGACCTCTGCGCAGGCACAGATTAAACCCATTAGTGTGCATTCACAGAGACCACGAAGAAGAATCAGTATTTGCTGCATATAATTGCCCTATGATACCTCTAAAATTTTGCCCAAAGCCTAATATTTAAATTATCATTTTCAATGTTGGCCATTCCTCACAGTCAAAGGCCTTGAAAATATCTAATGAAATTATACCAGCTTTCAACTTTTGTTTTCCTATTGTTTAGGCATCCTTCAGTCTCGAGAGACTATGGCAACGTGCTCACAGCATCTAGTGTGGCTGAGAAGGCCAATTCGAGAGTGACAATCCCTTCCACACTGAAGACAAATACAATCTGTCCCCTGTCCAGCTCCCTGATTT